TATTACTAATATTAATAAGGCCTTAGCTCTAAAAACCTAAACCGACCTAGCTATAAAAGTCCTAGTATAATATTACTATTTGCTAAAGACCTTCTCCTAATAGGAAGCTAATAAGTTACCTAAATACTAAACGTATAATTATAAAATTATGCTTAAAAACAGCAAACTGCACGGATTTAGCCTATTATATAGAATGTTATAAAATGAATTAAAGGTGCTAAGGAAGTACCTTAACAATAACCTCGCGAAAGGATTTATCTGTGCTAGTTTATTACCTATTACCTTTCCGGTTATCTTTATTAAGAAGCCCGGAGGAGGCCTATAATTCTGTGTTAACTACTGCGCGCTAAATACTATAACTATTAAAAACTAATACCTAATCCCCTTAATTTAAGAGACCCTGGCATAATTAAGTAAAGCGAAATACTATATAAAGCTTAATATTATCTCCGTATTCAATCGCTTATAAATCGCGAAAGGAGATAAATAGCTAACTGCTTTCCGGACGTGATACGGCCTGTTTAAATACCTAGTAATGCTATTTAGATTGGCTAACGCTTCTAGCACGTTCCAATACTATATAAACGACGTGCTCCGCCTGTACCTAGATATATTCTATACTATATATATTAATAATATTCTAATATATAGCAAAAACTTTAAAAACTACTAGTATTATATAAAGCTAGTTCTAAAAGTAATAGAAGCCGCCGGCCTATAACTAAATGTTAATAAGTGCAAATTCTATTAGGATAAGGTTACCTACCTAGGGTACGTAATATTAACCGGCGGAATTAGTATAAACCTAAATAAGATTAAGGATATTTATAACTAGGAAGTCCCCTACAATATTAAAAACGTACGAGCCTTCGTTGGATTTATAAACTTTTACTAATAATTTATTAATAATTTCTTTAGCCTGGCCGCTCCCCTAATTGCACTTATAAAGAAGGACGTTCTGTTCCGGTTTAATAAGTTCTGCCGTGCGGTATTTAAATAACTTAAGACAGCGTTTACCACCGCCCTAATCCTCTGTTATTTTAACCCTAAACTGCCAATTATTATTAAGGCCGATTTATTTAACTATATAAATGCTGGAGTGCTCTTGCAAATAGATAAATAAGGAATACTCCGACCTGTAGCCTACTTTTTAAAATAATTAAGTTCTACTAAATATAACTATAAGATCTATAATAAGGAACTTTTAGTAATTATCTAATGCTTTAAATAGTGGCGGCCTAAACTAAAAGGCGTAGTATTTCTAATTTAGGTTCTTAGTAACTATAAAAACCTGCAGTACTTTATAACTATAAAGCAGTTAAGCCACCGACAGGCTTATTAGTCTAAATACCTGTCCTAATTTAACTTTTTAATTACCTACTAACCTGGCAAGTACAGTAAGAAGCCTAACGCCTTAACGCGTTATACGCAAGATGCGCCTGCGCAAGAAAAAGCTTAAGCAGCCCGAAATTAGATACTGCTCTGTCCCAACCTATTTACACAGTTAAATCTAACAGAAACTAACTAAATAATTTAGGAGATTATTAAGGATAAATACCTAAATAATAAGTTTATCCAGGAAGTTCTGGAAATATTATACTCCGGAGTACGCCGCTTTAAGAAGATTACCCTAAGTAAATGCAAAAAGTAAGATAGCAAGCTCTACTTCCGCAACTAAATAGCAATTCCTAATAATAATAAACTAAAGATTAAACTGCTTCGTCACGTGCATAATTCCCCCGTTGGCGGCCACCCTAGATATAGAAAAACTCTAGAAATCCTCTAAAAAGAATACTACTAGCTGTATATATTTAAAATAATCCGCCGATTTATAGTATACTATTATACCTGTTACTATATAAAGGCTTTAAGAAAAAAGTATAATAGCTTCCTAAAACCCCTACCTGTCCTGCAGTATTGCTGGCAAGATATTTCTATTAACTTTATTATTAAACTACCCGAATTTAAAGGCTGCACTAATATTATAGTTATAGTAGACCGCCTAAGTAAGTACTAATATATAATTTCCTATAGAATAATTATAGCTAAGGCTACAGCCAACCTATTCTACCGATATATTTAGGTATATTACGGATTGCCTAATATATGCGTATCCGATTAAGGATCGCAGTTTATCTCCGCATTTTAGGATAAACTCTGTAAGCAACTACGCATTAAAGCCTAATTATTATTAGCCTTCCACCCGGAAACTAATAGCTAAATAGAGAAGGCTAATTTAATACTAGAATAAGTCCTCCGCGCCTATATAAACTATAAGCAAAATAACTAGGTTACCTAGCTGCCGTCCGCTTAGTTTAAGGCGAATAACACCTAATCTAAATTAATAACAGTAATACTATTTATTACTATCTTAGGACAACACCTAAGAATAGGCTTTAAACCGCTATTAGGAACTCCGCGCCCTGCCTATTAAGTACTGCAAGCACTTAAGGCTAATTAGATAGTTAATAAGATATTAGATATTAAGCAGTTTATCTATAAAGAGATAACTTAGGCCTAAGCAATATAAGAAGAATACGCTAACTAAAAATATATAGGCGCACCGGCCTATAAAGTAGGTAATAAAGTTTAGTTAGATACACGGAATATCCGTACAAATTAACCCGCTAAGAAGCTTAATTAGAAGAACCTAGGGAAGTTCCTAATTATATAGATTATCTTTCTATACGCCTATTAACTAGGCCTACCTAAATCTATAAAGATATATCCTGTCTTCTATATTTTATTACTCTGTCCTGCCGCTCTGCAAGCTAACTACCTGCCTGGCCAGGAGTTACCCCTACCTAAACCTATTTAAGTTAAAGAAGAAACTAAATAGTATATTAACTGTATTAAAGGCATGCGCCTAAACCGGCGCCAAAAGCAATACAAGTACTTAGTCCGATGGACTGGATACAACAACCTGTCCTGGCAACCTGTTGACGACCTAAAGGATACTACTGCTGCGGCTGATTATTATTGCCGCCACCCCGAAGCTTACAATCCTGCGTCCGATAAGCCCCGTCCTGCTGGACCCTAAAACCTTAATTAAGATTTAATTCACGGCCCTACTCCTGATAAATAGCCGTATATATTATAAACAGCGCCTTCTACTCGCTAAGAGACTTGGGTTTAGGAGGGGGGTACTGTCACGGTATCGACCGCGACACCCTACCTACCGAAATTCTGCCGCAGATTGCTACAACTCCAGCAATCTGCACCGGCCTACTACCGCTGGCCGGCCTCCTGCCCTGCCTGCCCTGCTCCGCTCCCGTCTCGCTTCCGCTTCCTATCCTGTCCCGCTCCAGCCACCTACCGGCTGCCCCCTTTTCCTATCACCTGATCTGGTAAGGACCTCGCGTACACGCGTGCCACGCGCCGAAACGGCATAGAGGCCGTACGCCACGCGCTCGGCCACGCCCTTATATCCGGTGGCCCGTCTCCCGTCTTCCTGTCCCTTACACAACGTCTTAATTCTCCACGTAGCATTGTACATAGCACCTAATCAACGCTCCTTTTTAAGCCCTCGACCTCTCGCGTGTAGCGCTATCGTGACAAAAACAACCTAACTAAATAAAAAGCTTAACTTTAAAAAGCTTAGCCTGTTTAAGGTGCTTAAGAGCTATAAAAACAGCAGCGCCTATAAGTTTAAACTACCTAAGGGTATATCTAATATCCACCCTATTTTTTATTTTTAGTTACTCTACCTAGCTAATACTGTTCCTATAAAAGGCTAGTATAATAATCCACCGCTTTTTATTAAAATAACAGATATATACTAGAAAGGCAACGCTGAAAAGGTTATTAACTGCCGTATATATAAGGGCTAAATTAACCTTGCTACTAGAAAAAAAGAACTTTTTTAGTATAAAATTAAGTTTATTAGCTATAATAATCTCTAATAGGATAACTATACCTATACTAAGGAATATCCTTGCCTTATAGCTAATTTCCACTATAAAAACCCTAATAAACTAAAACCTTACTAATTATTTAAAATACTATTAGATTAGGAGCCTACCCTAGCCGCAATTTTTACTGCAATAGATCTCCGCCTAAGTCTTTCTATAATATAAAAAAACAGTATATAGTAAGTATAAAAAAAATACAGCTCTATAAAAGGGACTTCTTTAGAAAAGGGAGATATATTATAGCTATACGTTCGCTCGCATAACACGTGCCTAATAGTCACGTGATTAGGGCTCCGCGGAACAGATTAATATTGCTCCGACCTTTAGTTTATAACAGCGTTAAACCTAGAAACCTTTTCCTTTCTTATATTTATCTTTTGTTAATATTAATACAACTTATTTTAATTCTAACCTTAAGCCCTAATAGTTAAGTTAGAGTATTAATATTTAGCTTCCTTTTTTTCTGCTTTTAAAGGGGTCTATTTCTAGAAAAAAAGGGAATTTAATATAGTTTTACAAGGAATACTAAAGAAATTAGCAATTTTATAGTATTTCTAACCGGCGTATTAAAAGAGGGTATATAAAATATCACGCTTGCGGTAGAAAAAACGGGTGCCTTAATTTTAAAGAATAGGATATTAAACAGGGTAATAGCTACGCTGCCGGCAAACAAAATTCGGCAATTTTTAATACAAAATACAAGGCCCCCCTGCCGTTATTTTATATTATCTAGCTAGTCTAGTATATTCTGGTGTTTTCTGTGGATTTATAATACGCTGCTTATAGCTATCGCCACGCCCGCGCTAGCAGGGAGGGCGGCAGCCCGCTCAGGTTACCCCCTTATACTGGCTGCGTAAGGCGACGTCGTGGCGATAGAGGCTTAAAACACTAAGCAGCGATGTGAGGCCGGAGGCCGATGCAGTCGCGATCACGTGCCCGCGTAAAATAGACCATCTCATATATTAACCATCCTCTTCTGATCTTCACCTTCCACTCTCCACACCCTCACCACTTGGCTCATTTTGCCCGCCCTCATCACATACCGGCCTTCTTCGAGTCCATTCTCTACTTCGTGCCAGTCCGGCCATCATGGAGTTTCATCTCGGCTCCGTCTTGGTGATTGGGGGCTGTGGATTAGTCGGACACAGTATCGTCAAGCAACTCCTCGAATCTGGCTAGGCGGCAAGCGTCACCGTCTTCGATATCGCGACCAAGCATAACCGCTACCCCGGAGCTCGATACGTCAATGGCAGCATTTCTTCCAAGCAGGATGTGCTCACCGCCCTGAAAGAGTCCAAAACCGATGTCATCATCAATACGGCGTCCCCAAACTCACTTATTGCCAGCAAGCATCTACTCGAAGAAGTCAACATCACAGGCACCCAGAACGTCCTCGACTGCGCTATGGAGTGCGGCATCAAAGTCTGCGTGCACACCTCCAGCTCTGAAGTAGTGCAGAATTCCTACGACGACATCATCTGGGCGAACGAGACGTGGCCACTTCCAGAGTGTCCAGTCGACGGGGGCGTCTATGCCAGAACCAAGAAGATTGGGGAGGACTTAGTTCTCAAAGCCAACGGCAAGAATGGCCTCCTCACTGCGGCAATCCGCTTGTCCACCGTCTTCGGCGAAGACGACCAAGTCCTCACCAAGCAGTCGATCGCACTCGAACCGGCAAAGCCAAGTTCCGCGTCGGCACTGGCAAGAATCTCTACGATTTCATCTACGCTGGGAATGCCGCAGAAGGGCACATTCTGGCCGCCAAGAAGCTCGTGGAGGCATCTCTGTCAAAGGAACCAGTTCCGAAGGAGTCCCGCGTGGATGGCGAGGCTTTCTTCTTGACCAACGGCGACCCGTGGCCATTCTGGGACTTTTCTCGCTTTGTCGCGGCCGAGATTGGTCTCCCAATCGCCGACAAGGATCTATGGTTCATTCCGTTGGGCATTGCTATCTTTGTGCTCTCTGTCTTCGAATGGGCCTACTAGGTTGGCACACTGGGAAAACAGCCAAGCATCACGACGCGAATGCTCAAGTACACGGCTGAGGTCCGCACCTTCGATATTACAAAAGCAAAGCAGCGGCTGGGATATCGCCCCCGCGTTGGCATGGAAGAAGGGATCAAGCGCGCCGTCGCCTCGGCCCTGTCCAGATCCAACACTTCCGAACAGAAGAAGTCCACTTGAAGAGAATGCACGTCCGGCATAGGCACAGCAAGGAGTGGGCAGGCGCTGATGCATGTCGGGGAGGACAGAATCCGAGAATATGGGGTCGCAGGGCAAACTTGCTGCTAGGCTGTAAGGAGAGTGACACAACCGAGATGCTTGGGAGACCGCAGTAGTGCATGATTTGGGCGCCCTTAATGATAACAGCTGGTACGAGTGCAATACTACCACCACTAATTAACTCCAACACCGAGGCCCAATTGCAGTTTGTTTTGTTGGCCGTGTGTATTCTCTTAGTGTCCTCACAGCGTGTAATAACCCACTAATTGCCCCCTATTCCAATGCAAAACCCGGACTTATTGAAATTACATTCATCTGCCGGCAGAATTCTGTATTTCTGCTTAATAGCTCGATAGCGGCTGAACTATTCCTGGATGGGCTTAGCATTATTAGATGCCGCCCAATCGATTTCTATTGGCTTCTGTTTGACCTTGTGTGTTGTTTCCTTGTGCCTCTTAAGGAAGTTCTTTGGTCCAGTCGCGTCCAAGAGTGACCGGTACGGTGCCGTGAGGTGCGTGTAGCTTCAGGATGCGCTGTGCAGCATTATGCACTTGGTGGAACAAGGCGGCGGTTCCAATGCGATCCATGCGATTAATATAGGCCAAGACCGTAGCCTCCTGGTGTATATCAAGCTTCTTATTGCTGCCAGGCCTCTTCATCTTGCTTGGTATGCCCTCGAGGCGTCGGCACACGCGATCGGGCGGCGCGTTGTGTAGGCGTGCAGCGGCCGCAGCATTAGGGGTTTCCATGTTGTGATATGCCTCAATGGCACTTTGAACACGAGCCTCGATAATTTCAGATTCTGTAGGCATGGTTGTGGTGATACAATTTGAGGATGGAGGTGAAACAATGCATTGAACGAGGTAAGTGATGTATTGGATGAGCATCTATCTAGGCTACGTACGCCGTATATATACTCTGTGTGTGTGGAGGCTTACGTAGCCGTACCGTAGAACTGTGTGGGCTAAGTATAGGAACCATGTTCTATATCAAGGTAGCCGAGCTAACCGTACCATACTCCGTAGGCTAGCTGGCTAAGAATACGTACTCCGTCAAGATCAATTGCGTGAACAGTATGCTTCGTCTCATAATGTCGCTCTCGACATTATGCGAACCTTCAGGTTTCTGGCGGTGGACATCATATCACACATGTGCCTCGGGAAGCCCTTCGGAAGCAGTGAAGGAACTGGACTGGGTTAATTTGGACTGGGTTGGATGGGTTACTCTTAATATAGCTCTGGGTTCGACTTCTGATTGGTCCGGCGCGGGGTGGGTTTGAGGCCGTGGAGCACCCAGGCGCTCCACAGCTTTTCTCTCATACCGAGGAAGTCGTGGTGTTGAGGTTGAGGCAGGCTAGCTGAGGCCTCTGATTGGCTGAGCTATATACTCCGAGGCCTGCAAGGGGATCCTGTCTCAAAACTGTTAGCGTAGCCATATAGATTGCGACCTATTCCCCTACAAAATCTCTTGCCCGTCCTGTGCCCGTTTTTGAAGCTATTCGCACCCCCGTCCAACACCTCATCGCTATGGCCGACGCCGCGCCTGTTGACGAGGCTGTATGCCCTCAGCGCTCTATCACCAGCTTCCTTGGTGCACGCTATGCAGCCCCGGTTACTGACAGCGTTATCCTAGCCGAGTATATTAAAACAGCTCCTCTCGCAGCTGGCCAGGTGCGTGCCGGAGCAACACCAGGTGCCTCTCTCGATGTTGATGACATTATTGCATGGTGGAACAATCGATATTATACCTGGCCGGACCTCGCCCGCTTTACATTAGACGTTCTTGCTGTGCCGCCGATAAGCGATAAGTGCAAGAGGCTATTCAGCAGCGCATCTATATTGCTAGATAAGCGTAGGAGACGCCTTGGAATTGATATAATTAAGGCAAACGAGTGTCTACGGTCATCCTACGGCCCTCCTGCTCAGGAAGCATTTAATGATGCGGAGCACGCCGCGTCGCTTAGTGCATCGCGAGTATCACCAGCCTTACTTGCTGAGCAGGCGGCGGAGCAATTAAGGGTCTCACAATGCGAGGAAGCAGATGCTATAGCTGCTGACGGTGACGACGACGCGTTGGCCGAGCAGGAACTACGTGAGGTTGAAGAGGAGGCTATATTAGAGGGTCCTGCACCACCTATTAAGGTTGTAGATGCAGATGAGGATAATATGGTGGTTAGCGATGGCTCGGGGATCGCAATTTAGGTAGTAGGTTTGGTCACTTCTCACCCTCAATTTAGCCCACGCTAAGCTACTTTAGGCAATATACTCAGCTTCAACACCTTACAAATCACTAGCGTGGAGCCCCTGTAGCTCCTGGAGCTCCGCAGCGTTTCCGCTGGGTTGGAGTGGATTTGGTTGCTAACCCAACCCAGTCCAGTCCAGTTCCTTCACTGTTCGGAAGCGTCGAGGCTGATAACGACCAGCACAAGTTCATCTAAATCTTCTGCGCAGGGACTAGAGTGCAGACATGCCTTTCAGTGTTGCCAGAATTAAAGGGCTTCTTAGTGATGCTGTCTTCACTCCCTATCTTGAGCCGGTGGGTTGCACCAACTCCAGGCGATGGCACGCCGCTGGGTAATGTGCTTGGTGTAGGTTCATGCAGCTGTCTTGTGGATTTTAACTTTGCGGATTCTAATTCGGGACCAGATTATCCGAGAAGAAGTGAATAGCCGGTTTCAATGCCACGGTCCGAAAATCGACATGCTTGACTCGTTCCTCGCGCGTGGTCTCGGCCAAAAAGAAGCCGTTGGCGAGCTTCTCATAATCATGTAAATCCCCACCTCCCTTCTCTAGTTCCTTCTCTACCACTCCTCACTCTCGCCTAGGAGCGCGGGTATCGAAACGACCACCACGGCGATCACATCCATCCTCTTCCTCATTCTCTCCACCCCCGGCGTGCACTCAAAACTCCAAGCCGAGATTGATGCTGCTATGGACTTGGATCCCAGCTTCCCCGCTGAACAAGCTACTATCAATGCTCTTCCATAATTCGGCGCCTGTATCTCCGAGGCCCTTCACATCTACCCGCCATCCTTCTAACTCTGTGAACGCATGGCCCCTGCCGCCGGCGACGTGCTCGGCGGTTACAATATTCCCGGCGGCACATTCATTGGCATCAACTCCAAAGCCGCGCAGCTAGGCGACGTGTTCGGCGCCGATGTCGAGGCGTTTCGGCCGGAGCGGTGGCTAGTCGATGATGTGGAGAGGGTAACATTGATGCGAAGGGACTTGGAGCTGGTGTTTAACTACGGGAGCACCAAGTGCCTTGGAATGACTGTGGCGTGTATGGAGATGAACAAGGTTGTTTTTGAGGTAAGAGGTCGAGCCAGCCTTACTGGCGGTTGGCAGATTTTTAGAAACTTCCGCGTGGAGATTAGTCCGCGGTATGATATGCGTGCGGATGAGATTATCCCAAGGAAGCTGTTAATAACGTTGGCTCCTAAGCCGGTTGGGAAAAGCGTAACTATTTTGACACTTGGGAGACCACCTGTGTGTACTGCTGCTTCTCTAAAAACGTGAATTCCTGACTAGATTTACAAATCCCGGAAAGAGATGCTAAGGCGGGAGTGTGGAGGTCACCGTAGAGGGCTTATTGATCGAATGCTTCCTGCTACCCCTATGGGTCTAGCGGTAAAGAGGAGACGGCGATACTTCGAGGCTGATGATGGGTAGAGGCTAGAGGTTTGTGATGCCGACCAAATACAGGTTATAAAGGTAACAATTCAGAGGCCTAAATCAACTAAAGGAGGACTTCACGTGTTTTGGGTCACCCTTTATGCTTTTGGAATCCAAGTCTTGATATTACCGGGAGCACGAACTTCGTCACCGTTCTCCACGGATTCAAATCGCTCACTCAGCTATACCCTCGTTGAGCTCCTTCAATCATTTCGTGACTTCACGTTTAACGTCCTTCTTGACCTTCTTACATGCCTAGAACTTCCCAGTTCCACAAGAGATCGTTACGATGTTGGGGACCTACCGCAGGCGTATGAACATGGCAACCTGTGCAACCGCGTCTCTGACCACAAACGAGTCCACGAGGCTGAAAGTTTAGACGTCACTGGACGGGACCAGGGCTACCTCGCTGTCTCTGTACAGGAATGGGGCCATGCGGCTGCCGGGGCCCCACTCGAGATCACGGTCTCGTACCCGTCTATGCTCGAGATCGTGGAGGTAGCCATGAGCGCGGAGCCGAGCAACATGCCGAGGACGATGAGGAGGGCCGTGTTCTAGTACGCACTCAAAACCCGGTTCCCACTTCCTCTTCACCGCGAAGAAGACCGAGGGTCCGCACAAGTTGAAGGCCATACACGAGGGGTTGCCCGAGCCGTTGCTCTCGCACTCCATCCCGGGTAACCACCCAGCCCAGCGCCCCTTCATCTCGTTGTTCACCACTATGGTAGTGTGGCTGGTCGAGGGCAATGGCTCGATTACCTCGATGAACTTGGAGTACTTCTCCTTCGCGTTTGCGACGCTGACCGAATTCCCCTTCACCGACGGAACATCTCTAGGCCATGGGGGTAGCCTTAATTTATCAGAGTGCGCACTGGTTCCTGGACCTTGGTGTTTCGAAGAAAGCCAGAACTTGACTTTAGAATCATCACTAAGAGCAAGCAGACGCTGCTCCATAGACCTTTCGACAACCAGAGACAGCCACACCCTATCATGCAGGATTCATCTAAATCGCTGATGAGTGGACCAGCACTTGCCAGCTATTGAATGATCCAAATGCGACAGCGTGGTTAGTAAACCGGCCAATCCTCAATCGGATTGACGGCCGGTTTATTAGTATAGACTCTAGATAATCCAATCAATCAATCCTCTAGCCAATCAAATCTCAAGCGGAGATTGATCCGATTGATCCGATTGGTGTATATAAATCGGAAAGGATATATACGAATCGGAAAGGATGTATACAAATTGGAAAGGATGCATACGGACGTGATTTTTATAGATTTTTATGGGTATAACTTCATTCTATAAGCTCACTACGCCTATAGATGAGGTTACGGAGTGCCCCAGAGTAGAGGGCAACGTGAGAGTGCCATGGTGGTGAGGTTCTAGGTGAGGGGGGGCTCAGGATGTCCCTTGGGAACGTTGCGCGGAGTACAAAAGGGGGGCGCATTTTTAAGGCCTAGAAGACCTAATGATTTGCTTCAAACGTAATTCAACCCGTAGAAATCGACTCCCGTTGTCCGTTTAAGCTCACCTCGTCATGGTGGAGTGCTAGAGGGGGGGCTAGGGCCGTGGTTGATGAGGCTAGCAAAACGTGTTCTCCCGCCTCCGCCGGCGGAACCTCGGGGCAGCAGAACGCCGTGATTCTATTGGCTTGTTAAGACACGGTGAGGCCTTAGCGCACCGATCTCTTAGCGCGATGTTATTCACTTATTTGCCAATCCGGATTAAACCGTGCAAACCAAAATTCTAATCAATCCAATCAATCAAGCTTCATCCTATATATAACAACCCAATCAATCTGCTCTCTAGTTGAGCCGGCCGCCGGTTTAGTAACCACGGTGAAATGCGACGCCAGTACGGACGGCGTAAAAATTCTCACACAGCATGCCATTTGATTGTTTCATCGATGCCTATTTGCCGTAGGTACTCGAAAGATATACCACTCGCAGGAGGGTTCCAGTTGCACGGACTGTGTACCAATCTTATGTTTGATCTGCAGCCTGGTTTTGGTTCGGTCGGCACAGGGAGGTTTGTTGCTGCCTTTCGACACCATAAAAACAATACCACGCTGCAGCTATTGCTCTTCTCTTGTAGGGCTCTGAAAATATAGGCCTCGAGCTATAATGCGCGTTGTTCCAATTTCTTTTCCTTGATCTGCATAAGTACTTTAGCCAATCAGACCATGGTGGCGATCGCTGCAGCTTTCCAGCGCACGAGCGCACGAGCGGAACGCTGCCATCAACAAACAACAATCATACTACGCGCAACAACGACACACGCAATCCACTCCACCAAGTCTTAGCATCAAGAGACTATCGACCTCATCGACGATACGAATGTTCGTTCCACAATGGCGCCTCGCACGGGAACCGTGTCCCATGCCATCGCTGGTTTACAACAATTGAATCCTGCTTCGAAGCGGAAGCACCTTGGCCAGGTCACAGGCAACAATATGCACTCTAAGCGCCAACGTCTGGAGGCAGCCTTCCCAAAGGCCACCATTCCATCGCACCGTTTCTCGATCCTCGAAGACCAAGTTCCAGACGTCAAGGACGACGACGACGACGCCGACGAGCAGAATTACGATCATCTCTGGCATATTATCAGGGAACGGAAGGCACAACGATACCTGAGCGAAGCCGCTATGGAAAGGTTGGATCAAGAGAAAGCTGAGGAGACAGGGTCAACGACGACCGCGAAGGCTCGAAAAGATCAGCAGCTATTTGCGGAAGAGATGTTGCATCCTCGCTGGATCGCAATCAAGCGAAACAAGCCATCCTCGGACCCACAGCACCGACTGCGACAGTTGGTACACGAGTTTTTAAGCCGGAATGACACCCCGTTCGAAGGCCTTGAGTCGTTGGTTGGGCGGTTGCACGTAAACATCGACGAGATCGAGCAAAGACGGATCCGCTCCCGGTTGGAGTATCTGAATGCCTCGCACGCATCTGAGGCACAATGGGAATCGGACCTATGGAGACACTGGTTTCTAAAAGGGTCGGTCCAAACACCGGACAGCGATCCTATTGAGAGTAAGCCCTTCATGGGTCGCGTTGTCCAGGCCAAGATGTCTCTATCAATTAGAAGGGGCGCAGTGCTCCCTCCGCTGCTGGCCTCGGCGGATGATCGAAGAGCATCTGGGTTGCATGTCGCAAAGATTCCATGGGATCCAGACCTGAGAAAGAATAAAGGCAATCAAGAGCGTTGGTATCCGGATTATCTTTATGCGGTTTCTCAGTCCTCACTTGCCACTCGTGGAAACGACTACTATGCGCATGAAGTGGAGAACACGCTACCCGCCTTTCGAATCGCTCAACACAGTTATCTCCCTGCAAGCTGGCTTGCAGAAATCAAGTCCGCGGATACCGAACTCAACCACCTTGCAGCAGAGAACTACCTCGCCTTTATGAGCGCCTACCTCCTGCATGAACGGCTCATCCTCCGTTGGCTGACGAAGAACAACTGCAAGGGCTCCATAAATGCTGTCGAAATCGACGATAGCCTTGCAATTCACTGCATTTCTTGCTGTGGCCCAATTTGTAAAATCTGGCGAATGTCGATTCGACCAAGGCCGGATCCGTCAAGCTCACCCCTCAAACCAGTGAGATATGACATGCAACGCCTTGATACACTTGATATCCGAAACAACCGAGGGGTTAGCCGACTTGGTGACTGGATCAACATACTAAATGCATTTGGTTTGACTGCCCAGCTGGGAGGTATTGCCGCAGACCTTGAGGCAATAGATGCTAACCCACCGGTATCTGACGAATACTCCTGGGCCTCCGAGAAAGGCTTTGTGTATAACCCCGTCTCGGAAGGCAACTCGGAAGGCATTCATATTCTGGCTGTACCGTTGAAAGAACTTCGCAACGCATACACAAAGGGCACCATTAAAGCCGACGAATACATCGGGAACAAAGTCGTTCAAGAATGGAATAGCGAAGGCGTCCCTCTTGAGGTTGACATTACCCTGCCGAAGCATCTCCCAACACCTCCTAGTTCACACGAACCAAGTGCATCCACTTCTGAGCAAGCAGTCGAGGCAAATGCTATTCAGCGGGCCTCATTGTCTATTCATGCCAACGCATCGACTTGGACAGCACACATTACTGACACTGAGTTTACCAAATTCAGCCGTAAGGGGCTTGTCGTCATGGCCAGCGCCTTTTCCTCTCGTATCACTGGCCCCAGTCAGAGTGCCCCCGCAAGCAATGCTTCCAAGGAGGCTCTTGTTACCTACCTCGTTAGCGTACAGACTCAGCTAGGTACGGGTTTGGATGCCGCGGTTGTGTGGAAGAGAATGGGCTTACAGCGTGGCGACGTGAAAAAGCTTCGAGTGGAGACGTTGCGCATCGCTTGTGTGGACCTGGGTGGCGAGAGTATAGGCAAGACGAAACCGGAGCTAGCTGACATGGTAGAAGAGTTACTAGAGCTGGAATAGCTACGTAGCGTACTCGGGAACTCATTAATTGGAACCTGCTTTTTCTATACTTTGACATCTTACATGCCGCTCGCCCCTCCCAAAAACTAACTCCTTCAAACTACTACATCTCTACCGCCCTCCAACATGCCTGAGAATATGAAAGCCTGGGTCAACGACGGCGCCGCCGGAGGCCTCGAGAAGAACCTGTACCAGCCTGCCGTTTACCACAACCCTCTCACGGCCTCTGTTCTCACCAAATTAAGAAGACCGAAATGCTGACTTTAAGATGAATGAAGCCGCAATTACGAAGGTGAGTAGATACTAAGTGTGCATGTAAAGAAACCGGCTAACCACCTGGAACTTGATTGGCCACCAATAATTCGGCTAGCCGTTTAGAGTTTGGCTTGGGTGGCCTAGAATTGGGCTACTCATGTTTACTTTAACAAAATGCCCCAGTTCTAGGCCTCACTGCTAGCTTAATCCTGGAACCATCTGTCGCGTAAATTTGACCAAAAACTCTGACAAGGATAGCTCTATAGTTAGTTGGCTAACTGAGTTTGAACAGAGAAGTGAGTTGAAGGTGGGCATCCTGCGCAGCGGGTGAGCCGAAGATTAGCCGGAAGTAATTTTGCTTATAAACAGGCGATACAGCGCCTGTTTAGTCACCCTATGTTCCGCTCGTCTGACACCGCAAACGCCGTCAAGAGAACCATCACGGCGCGTGTTTAGTAGTTACTAGTGCCGATCGAATAGTTATCGTCCCTCGCTTCACGAAGTCGACTTCATGAAGGACAGATAGCGCTTGCTGAGAGCCCTGCCGACCCTCGGGATCCCCCACGACCTACCTCCTACTCCTAACCTTAAGTTTCTGCGATGCTTAATAAGTTAGGATCGACCAGGATACATACAGAGCGCATCGCTCCATGTCATGCGGATCCGCATCGCTACCTCCATCGCGATACGCTCCTGTGATATGCAACAAGGTCACGTGGCCTAAATCACGTACCACTGTCACATGACCTTGCTTACGGGCTAACCGCCATCCATACTTGGTACGCGGCCCTCCGCGTCTCTTTCTACACATTGCAGCTACCTTTGTACTTCGTCTGTATACTCAATATAACAAGGTCTTCTCTCTGATCCTCGTATTGCGCCGTGACACTCTACGACTACGCCCACTTGTTGTAACCTATAGGCACCTATTACCGCTAGTCCCCTTTCAATCTAATATATATCATGACTAAGCGCGTTAGGGGCCCACTCGCGACTTCTTTCCCCCGAGCGCATCTATCTATAGCTTACACTATAACTATTTCTTCAAAGTAAAACTTAGCCGCAAGAATGATAACATTTGAAGGAGGATTAAGAGGTATAATAACTAAATTACTCTAAAATTCTATTCAAAGTTGACCTGCTAAATATGCTTTCAGAGAACAATATTCTACATAGCTGAAGTCCAAACTCCATGTCGGACGTCTAATTTACATCCTCCCCATCATAGCAGCAAGCGCCACCTCCCTAACCCGCCGTATGTACATCTCACTGGTGTGCTGCGCGAGATCGGCAAAGATGACTTCCCTCAGCTCTTCGGGCGTCACGCGCGACGCTGCCGCGCCGCCGTTCTCCCGGTCGCGGAGAAGGACAACGTCGCCGGCGTTGGTCAGCGGAGCATCCGGTGTCGGCCACAGCGGAAGCTCCTCCCACGGAGTCGGCGGCGCGGCGGGAAGGGTCTGAACCCTAACAACTGCCGAGCCGCGGGAGCGGCGGACGACTTTGACAGGCGGAGGCGCGGTCGCGCTCGTGACGGATGAAGGGGGCGACGCGGTCATCAGTTTTGCCAGCGACTTCACGTAGGCGGCGTTGCTTAGCCGAAGGACCGGGTCGCCTTCGTTTGCAAAGGATAGGAAAACACCAGACCCATGGGCGCGTCGGGGCAATGGCGTCAGCGAGAGAGGTGGGGCGCCGAAGGTTACGCAGTTGATGCTGTGAAACTGACTTGCGAGTGCCGTCAAGTCCGAGTGGACGGAGGTCGATAGCATGTGGCTGTACAATATTGCGGCCACAGCGCCCCCTGCGGAGTGGCCGGTGAACAGAAGGGAAGGCCGCGCCGAGGAAGCTGGATGCTGTTGCAGCTGTGCCGCGACTTGGCCCACCATTGCCTTGGTGACCTGAAGGAATCCCGCATGGCATGCATTCTCCTCGTCGTCCAGGAATCCAACGGGCTTTGCAGCAGTCGCCGCCTTGTTGACGGCCCAATCTGAGAGACTCCGAAACTGAGTACCGCGTATGGAGACGATGACGACTCGAGAGTCGTCGATGAGCTGGTCGTCTATAATCATTGCTTTGATGTCTTTGGACGAATCTGCTGGAGTGTACGTTCCCCGTCGAGTGCGTGCTTGCGAGTCATAGCAATCATTCGATGCGTGTGCAGCACGACAAATCATGGACCACGTTGGGAGAGAAGTGCTGAACGACGGCAGTTGCGGTGGTAATCGAGAGTTTTTGAACAGGGCAGCCTTCTTCGCCAAAGAGGATCTCTCTCGGGCTGCGTCGTCTTGAGGCTCTTGTCGCCTGGCCGCAACGGTACGTGAACGCTGCTGATATTGCAATCTGCCCGGCACGCGGGGGTCGACGGTGTCCTCGCCCTCTTCTGCAATCAGCTCCGTGGACCCAAAGCTGTATACTGACGCCCCACTAGAGTATATCGATGAGGCACTGGAGTATATCGATACAGAGTCGCTGGAAAATATTGACGACGAGTCTCTGGAGTATAACGATGAGGCGCTGGACTGAGTCTCTTCGATGGCGAGGTCTTCAAACGAACCCAAGGCTGCTTCATATGTGTCTTCTTCTCCAGTGGACTGCGCCGATGAGGTTCGAATGGAAGTCGGCCGCACAGAAAGTTCTGGCTCATTAAGTAGGCCGCTTGACGTCGCACCGGGTCCTTCGTCACGCTTTGAGTCGGTATGAATGTGGGTAGAGTCCGCGGGGAGATCAGGCTTCCTCGTCTGGGATTCCGCAGTCCCATCCCGTTGACGAAATGACTCCGGCACCGGAGGAGGCTGATCAAGCACGGGGCCAGCCAGTTTTGTTTTGGACGAATTTCGTGACAGGAAAGTTGGCGTTAGTATGCCAGCCCTCCAATCTGTATTTGTTCGTGTTGGCTTCGTAGCCGTGAAAGGGAGACCAGGAACCCGTGAAGGAGCAGAGGCGTCGACCTGCGCCGCCTTCGCAGGCTTGACCTTGTGACCTCCTCTGGGCATGATGCGATTCGAAGAGAGGATCGTTGTGCAGACAAAAGATAGGATTAGTGTGCGGAGATTGTCGAGTTGCAAAGGCCTTGAGAGCGATGGAGCGAGTTCAGTTTGCTGAAACAGTGATCACATAGATGGAGGAGTGGTGCTATCATAGCCACGTGTGAATTGCGGTCTGTTTTGAATCCATCGCTTCCATCAATGTCGCTCCGGCCACAGCGAGGCTGGCTGGCACCGCCATGGCCGAGAAATTGCGAGCCATCAAAGGGCGCCACGGCGTCTGGACATGCGAGCTTGGAGCAATTCGCATGTCCAGCCATGCCACCTTATCGACGCCGTGCAGTAGTCGGAGCGGCCAGATGGTGTGTCGGTGCCAATAGTGAGGTTTTAGTGAGCATATGTGGCGGCCACGGGAAAGCTTGGGGGCGACGCGGCTCCTTTTAGGGTCTGAGACGCAAGGCTCCAAGGAGCGCCACGATACCTATATAGTCCTAGTCTGCGACTTGTGCATGAATCCGGACTGTGCATTGATCCGGATTGTGCATGGATCCGGATTGTGCATGGATCTGGATCCCTTTTGGTGGTCGAGATAAGGTTCCATAAGATACGCTAAGCCATAAGCGTTTGGCGTCGACCACTTCCGGATCGTGGAGAGCTAGTGGCTTAACAGCCGCGTGGCTTTGCTGTGTGTATACACTCAGCTGGAGCTCATGCGCTCGTGGGGAATCTAAACAAGGGTGTGATCGCGATGACAAGGGCAGTTGATGTATGTACGAGGTCGATGCGTATACATACAAGGGGTGATCAAGAACGGAGTGCCCCCCCACAAACAAAGCCAAACCTGTCCGGGTTGTTTTCCTTCGAGACTGTGGCTGCAGGTACACTGGGGGGAGGCACTCCGTTCATCATCACCCCTGGTAGAGTTCTGCCCACTCCGACTCCGTGGCGTAAAGCCGCGAGCTGGCCTTCCAGCGTGTCAAATACCATGATGCACGATGCAAACAGCTCGGGGAGTCACAGCTTCGCTTCTAGACATCTCGCTTCTAGGCACGCAGGAACCCTTCAAATATGGCATTCTCCAAAAGTGCCCGTGACAGTCCCGCCAGCCTGCAGAATGATTCCCGCTCGTATGGACTTATCGACACTGCCGCCGATGCACTTCCCTTATGCAACGACTATAGTTACAGACCGTCAATTGACTAAAGAGGCCCAGCAATACCTCACTGCCTCTCATTGTACACGGCTTGGTGGGCATCGGAGGGTGTTGGTGGGAGAGCGGTGGATTCTTCAGCCGCACGCAGCTAACCACTGCCTTACCCGGCCCCTCTCCCATTCCTTCTTAAGTCCGCTTCACAGAAGCTGGCGCGTCCATCCTGACTCTTGAAGCTAGAAATCGGAGTCGCCGTATCGATGGATTCGTCGCTAAGCTCTCTGCATGCCGCACTTGCAGCCCAAGGCGGTTGCTTATCGCGTCTGACCACATGCAAGCCACGTAGCTTGCGAAGCTGTGCGTCGCTCCAGCCTCGTCCTGCGTCCGGTAGAAACTAACCCAGCGCTAAAATCAAGCCACACATTTACTGTATAAGGCAGCACGTCCGGGCGCCTCTAGAGGGGAATAGCGACCTCCTAGCCAATCAATATTCCAGCTAGTTCAGCATTACCCCAGAAAAGGAGGTTGAGCAGGGTCGACTCAGTTTCCGCGCTACAGGTCCTCGGACGTAAAGAGAGCCTGTAGTTATAGCGTAGATCTCCAAAAACAGACTGCCGTAGCACACCCGGTCCCACAGACGGCCGAAAAGGATCATGCAGAACGGAACCTGCAATCCGGACCGGAGCCAAGCAGTCCAGATCGATTCTTGTTGCCAGCTGCATGTCGGCCGCTCCATGCTAACTAGCACAGAGTAGAGTCGATGGCAACGCCTTCGCTGCCTTCGGTATAGGGGTGAAGAGTATAGATGCTGCAAGGATCCAGATCGAGACCGATCTTTCCCTCGTGCATAAAGGCACCTTTCTCCGCCTACTTCTTCATAGCCTTTCGCAAGTTCCTTCTTCAGTGCAATTGCACACTACTCTCGCCATGTCGTCGAAAAATTCGGCTGATATCGAAATCCAGGTGCGAGAATCGGACGCTTCCACGTCGATATGCGACCAGATCGATTCCTTGACGGATGATTGGGATGCACCTCACAACAAAGAAAACCCCAGGAACTGGAGTGCCTGTGAGCGATATGCTATAGCCTTCACGTTTCGCGAGCAGAGCTGACGTAACCGCAGTGAAGAAGGGCTGTCATACCATCCCAGTGGCGCTGCTTTGCCTGAGCGTGACGGCCGGCTCGTCTATGATCACACCCGGCGTGTTCGCGATCGGGTACAAGTTCCATGTGTCTCACACTGCCGCGCTGCTCCCCCTATCGTTGTTTGTCCTTGGACTGGCGATCGGGCCGGTGCTTGCTGCGCCTATTTCGGAAACCCGCGGTCGGGCCATTGTCTACAAAGTTAGCATACCTCTATACATGCTTTTCATTCTTGGCGCCGGCTTCTCGAAGTCCTTTGCAGGCTTGCTGGTATGCCGCACCCTCGCAGCGATTTCTGGTGCTCCATGTCTTGCTGTAGGAGCAGGCACCGTCGCGGATCTCTTCGAGCCAAGCAAGATGGCCGGCCCCGGCGCTATCGTGGTCATGGCACCGTTCTTGGGTCCTTGTAAGTAATACTCCGTCGCCTTGCGACGTGGCGTCGGCACTAACTGATTGTTACTTCTAGGCCTTGGACCAGTCATCGGAGGCTTCGCAGCAACATATACAGAGTATCGGTGGACGCAGTGGTCTACTATTTTCCTCGCACTGGCTGCGTACATCCTCATTCTTCCAACGCAGGAAACACACCGGAAAGTGTTGCTAAAGCGAAAAGCCCTGCGAATGGGCCTTCCACCTCCGGAGCCAGAGCTCGCGCCGCGGGAGGCCATCAAGATGCTACTCACTATCACCCTCTTCCGCCCAATCCGCATGCTTACGTCGGAGCCTATCGTTCTCTTGTATTCCGTCTACAACGCATTTACTTTCAGCGTGCTATTCGCCTTCTTCGAGGCTTACCCATTCGTGTTTATGGGAGAGTACGGCTTCAACATCTGGCAGTACGGCCTCACGTTCTTAGGGATTGGCGGCGGCGTGCTACTCGGGGCGGTCGGCGCAATTCTGGTCGATCTCTTGGTGTATCAGAGAATCGTGCGGGAGGGCGGTGACCGCATCAGAAATAGGGGGCCTGAGCAAAGACTATACATCGGCATGATTGGCGATCTCTGCCTCCCCATCGGGTAGGCCAATCCACGGTCCACACAGGCTAGAGATCGCGGGCTCGTTATGCTGACTCCTCTACAGGCTCATTTGGTTCGCCCTAACCGCCAAATCATCTATCCACTGGATCGTGCCGGTCCTAGCTGGCATTCCATTCGCCTTTGGCAACGTTACCGTCTTCATCTCAGCGGCCCTCTATATGCTAGATGTCTATGGCCCACTCAGTGGCGCATCTGCCATGGCTGCCAACGGTCTGCTGCGATATACAATGGGCGCCAGCTTTCCCTTGTTTACCGTGCAAATGTACCAAGCGCTAGGCGTTAAATGGGCGACATTGCTTCTGGCTTTTGTGTGCCTGCTTATGGTACCAATCCCGTGGGTGTTCTACAAGTATGGACCAGGCATTCGGAAAAAGAGTCCCTACAGCCAATGATCTGCCTGATTGAATAGACGCCAAAGGTTATATAGCCTTATGCAGCCACTTGATATTGAAGCGCTTACGCCCGTAGCTGTTGTGAACGTATCGAGCATCGTGTTGGTAGCCCAGTGTTAAGTACTATCTCGAGCACATCGTTATCATGTCGCAGCCTTGTACTGTACAATCACGTATCTCTGTAGACTTTTCAGTGGAGGATGGGAACCGGCACCTTAAAAGCGTCTCTGCGAAAGAAGCTCTCATCACAATGCCCGCATGGAACGGTTCGATTTCAAGACAAATCCGCTTATGCGAAGTGTGCATTAAAGTGTTCGATGGCCGGTGGCCTGACGGGCGTCGAGTCCAAACGTTCATTACGGACGGGACGCAGAAGTCCAAGAAGAGCAGGAAGCAGGACGGAGACAAACGGGACGAGAAGGCACGCTTGGAGGATTTCAACAGGTTCATCGAAAGCGAGCAGGCATAGCGTGTTCTTCTCAAGAGCCGCAGTGGCTGAGCCCGTGAAGAAAAGGACGAGGAAAGCGATTGCAGCGAGCAATTGCCGCGGAAGTGATTACCTATGAAATTAGCAAAACTGAAAATCAAACAACCATCTCCACCACTTCGTCATCACACGCCCCACACGTACCTTCGAGGCAGCGCCACGGACATCGCCTTCATCCTCTCGTCCATCATAGTCTCTGAATTTTTCCTCTCCCTCACGTTCTCATTCCTAGCAATCTTCTTCCCGTACTCATCCAACGCCTCAATCGTCTGGATGTAGTTGTATCCTGCTACCGCAGAGCAGACATACCACCACCCGTGCATCTCAAACATCCAACTCACCGGCATCCTAACACGGTGCCGTAGCTCGCGCATGGACGCACAGGTATGGAAGTCCAGGCGCCACAGCGCGTAGCCAAAGAGAAACAAGACTACACCCACGGTGTAGAGCCGCCGTAAGCGCTGCTTGAGCTTTGGGGCCCCACACGCGCTCGACGCGGCATATGAGCAGCGCGGTGACGAGGCCGCACATGCTGACGAAGGAATATTGGTGGAGTGCTGTGTTGTTCGATATGAGGAAGTTGAGGATGCTGGTGGTTTCGAGGAGTATGAGCGAAGCTAGGATGCGGCGGTATGGCAGGGCGCGCGATGCTGGCAGGCAGGGGGAGAGGGAGTAATAGAGGAGAGCGCTGGAGAAGATGTGCATGGTGAGTTGGTCAGCTAGATTATATTTTTTAGCGAGTGCGTGTGGAGAGAGGGGGCAGTGTTGAGGGTGGACTTGGCAGGAGAGAAAAATCACGTGCCGATTTGTGTGTTGTATTTCAGTGTTGCGTGATTCCATGTCGATGCGAGACCGACAAGAGAGAAAGTCAAGTATAATCTCCAGGCTGAGCGATTTCTGTAGTAGCTACGGAGAGCGAGGACGACTAGGAAGGTAAGCTTTGACTTTGTGGTTCAGGGAGAGATCGCGGAGAGTGTATCGGGAAGGACACTGATGGGACTTACTGTAGGCGAGACTTGTAATTGCGTTCATAAACTCGGCAATGTAGGGTGAGACGATATATTTCTGCAGCAATTGAGCATTCAGGGGAAGGAAAAATGTGACCTATGAGAGACTGACCTCTTCGCAGAAACTGAAAGTAATTGCATCTCGGGGTTGAAAGGAAAAGGTGAGTTGGGCATGGGGAACTATTGAATGCTCATTCTTCCCCCAGTAGTAAGGGGTTGTGGACTCGCTGAATGAGTGATGCGGCATAACGAGAGCTGGGATGCGCATGAAGGAGGAAATCAAGCGGTGGAGAGCGAAAGGACTTGGGGTCGGATCTGACGAATTTACATAAACCTCGTGAGGAAGGAGGATGAAAGAGACGATGAAGCGACATTCTAAGGACAAGGCCGCAAGTCGAGGACTTAGACGCGGGCTTCCTAGAAATAGAATAGGTAAGATCCGGACTTTTTTGAAAAATGAAATTAGCCTTGAGGCGTCACGGTTCCAATTCTGCCGTTCATCACCTTTCTATACTTTGGAACGTTTCCGAACGGAGGAATATACCAGTCTCATACTTCTCAATATTCCCATGCACCTCAATAGGGGACTGGTCGACCTCAGCCGCGTGATGACTTAGCAGCAAAGCCAGCGTGTTTGCACTGCCCAGTCGATAGTGGCCATTCTTGATAATCAAAAGTGACTATCCAATTCGGTGCTTTAACGGTCGCGTATTGACGCTACAAGGCTGTTTGATGCTCGCCCTCCCCACCCGCGGTCCCCGCCATTCCCCAACTCGCCGCATACCCGCTCAAACCCACCAATCTGCCACCTTAACAACCGCAACACAAACAGACATGCTGATAATCTCCGGTGCCGTCCCTGTCCTGTATATCTTCCACACCCATAAACCAAAACCGACATTGTGCACGCCAATGACTCGAAAGAGAGGGCGGTCGGCGAGTTCCGGCACGCCCCAAGTGGAGGCAAGGGTGGATGGGTAGAGTAGCGTGTAGGTGCCGCTGGCGATAATCGCGAGTGGGAGGCTGCAGGCGAGTGTGCGGGATAGGGGGTTGAGGTAGTAATGCATCGTGTGGTGAGCTTTAGGTGACTCGCTGGGTGTGGAGGTTGGGGAGAGGAGGCTGGGCGTTTGGGCGTGCTTTGAAATGGTCTCCTTGATTTCGTAGAAAACTCGGAAGATGCTGTGGAGCCGCCCTTGGATGCACCCACGTTGTACGAGCTGTCCGATCTCGTTTCCGCAGCATCACCCACGCTCCGCACCCTTTTCCAAATAAAGATCCTCTTGGCTGACGGATGTATATCTTAAATGGGGTTGGTGTTGGTATCGATTGCAGTGCTTTAGCTGAAGTTGCACTGTCTGTCGTCTGCAGGGGAAGAAGTGCCGGGTTTCTCGATGGTATTTCATCTTGGCATACTTGTTTCGCAAGAGATGAGGCTCTAACCAAGGTTCTCTTCATCTACTGGACTGCGATGAATGTGATGAGGAGATTGAAGATGATTGATCGAATTGCAGATCTAGATATCAGAATATATTACACAGCCTGCTCAGGCGGAAGCGTCGGGAGCTTGCTAGAATGGTATTTGCAGTCTGTCTCATGCTCAGAGTTTCCCTTGTCTCGGATGGGTTGGTAGTCGGCCATGCAGATCCAGCAGAATTGGTGCTTGCACTTGGTACCTGCATTACAATCATGTTAGCACGTATCCCTTAGTTCTGGACCACACGAAGCAAAAGTTTATCGGACTTACAAGTCATATGATCGCACCCATCATTCTTCTCGATATTCCACCCACAGTTGCCCCTCTTCCCCGGACATTTCTTTGTGATCTTAGCGATTTCGGCAGCAGAAGCCTCCTCTTGTGCTTTCTGGTCTTTCTCTTTCCTCCCACTTGTTCTATAATCATACTCTTCACAAGTTTCCCCTTCATGCCATACGCCCTCATGAACAGTACAGACTTTGAAACCACAGTCTACGCACACAAAGATGTTGCCAGAAACGTCGCTTTCGTGTATTTGACCGGATTTGCAATTAGGGCCACGACACCATCGGAAGTTGGGGTCGTCATTGAGTGCTTCGCGGGCAGAGAGGGCATCGAATCTGTAAATCTTGTCAGGATCTGTCAAAAAATACCTTCAAATTAGCGCAATACTCACTTTGCGTAGACTTCCGGCGTGGCATACTCTTGCACCTCCGCGTGATTCAAAATTTGTTTGCAACCCTCCTCTGGGCATTTGATCTCTTTCCAGCTCTTGCTGTTCAGTTCCGAAGCAATCCAGCCTTGGTAGCAGTCGCTACAGACTTGAGGCTCGTGCTCACAGTTCATGAGAGAGGGTAGATCGGGAATAGGATAGCTTTCTGCACACACTGCACAGTCCCTTTTCTTGGGCGCCGCATTAATTTGGCGTAGATGTTGGTTTTCCTCCTCTGCTAGCTTGATAGCTAATGCTAGATCGGCGTCTTCTTGTGGACGAGATGCTTGCCTGGGTACACCACGGTTCTCCTCTTCTTGCAACTGCCTAGCCAGAAGTTCGTCGGGATCCAGACTACGGGGTGAAGTAGCCTTACTCAGCGGAATATCACGGAGTTCAGTTGCCGGCTCACTGCGGAGTGATATCCTTCTGCTAAAGGGATTATTCGAGTGTAGTCCGCGAGACGATGCAGATGAAGATGATGCAAATGTCGAAGAAGATGATGCGAATGTCGGAGGGACGAAAGCACCGGGAATGTGTCTTGTTCGGGAAGAAGATGTGTGAGACGAAGCCCTCTCTTCTTCCTCCCTCTGTATTTGCTGCGCCAACTCTCGATCCAGTTGTTCTTGTGTTGATATACGCTGCGGAGTTGCCGCACGCGGTTTGCTAATCCCATTTCTGGCATTATTCCTGCCTCTGTACAAGACTAGGTCGTCGCTAGAGTCTGATGGAGCAGGTGAAGGACTGCGCCAGTGTGAGGATTCCGCTGGTGAAGGTGACCTTGCTGTTTGCTTTCCTTGGCTTGATCTGTCCATGGATTCTGACAAGGCCATAAGAAGGTCAAGGTCGTGTTCCATTTCAACCACCTGGCGGGCGTCGGATAGTAGTTGTTCATTGTTGGACAACGCTGCCGCATTCGACTCGCTTGGGCTAAATGGAATAGGTGCCTGGCCTCGAGAATGTTCCAGGGAGGGAGCAGCGCCAAAGAGCGAGGCATTGTGAGTCGGCTCCAGATCCGAGCCTCGCCGTGGTCTCGAAGGTGCTGGAGTTTCCAAAAGGGAAGATAGAGTTGACTTGTACTGAGCATTTCTTGCTAGCGGAAAGAACGGACGAGAGCTATTCGGTGCAAGTAAATTGGGAGAGGAAGCGGTAGGCCTTAAACCTATCGGTTTTCGTCGGATACTACCAAAGGGGGAGAGTGGAGATGTTGGAGGGGTTGCCACGGTCGACGCCGGACTGGCTTGCGAGAACACAAAAGACCCCGGCGTGTTCCCCTCGGAACCATCGTTAACCACTGACGATGGCCGCGAGTCTGGCAAGTATGGACGCGGGTCCGGGAAGTATTCTGTCATAGGCTCCTGAGGAGCTTTTGAGGTTGAAGATTTCTTCCATGGTAGGAAGCTCGACTTCCTTCGTGCGGGCAGTTCGGTAGCGGGGGTATGAGGGTCCCAGTCCGAGTCTCCTCCGCGCGTGAAGACCTGGGGCGAGTTCGGTATCGCATGTGCCGGTAATGCATAGGTCTTGACGGGGAAGCCTCTGGAAATCGGAATCTCCTCGTCCTTGAAGAATTGTGCGGTTCGGGAGGCACCAGGCTGAAGGGTGGCCGTCTCGTCAGACTTGGAGCTTCCAGACCCCATGCTGAGAAAGCGACCGAAGCGCATGCCGCAGAGCACTCAGGCTGGTATAAAGGGACGCGAAATGAAGCATGAAGTTAGCACGCAGATGAGAAGAAAGACAGAATGAAGACGGGCGTACACCCTGGCACCTGGGACCCGGCTGGAGGCGTCTTATCGACGGCCTCCGCTCCAGCTCATGGCATGAGAGGCTCGGCCCAGGCAGAACACAAGGCTGAGTTCCTCAGGCACAGTATAAGGGGCCATACAGCGGCCATTTTACGCGACGTGGCTGCGACGAAAAGCAGTGCCACCAATAGCGGCGAGCCATAGCCTCTCCCCCGCTTCGCCCTTTTGGTTCGACCGCAGTATTGATTTCTGCTGGCCAAGGTTCCAGCTAACTGTCACGTGCTTCTGGGCTCAAATGACGCACTGTGAACGGTAGATAGAACAGAACTTCGATGGAATTGCTTGAAACAAATGAATCCAGAGATGAATGTGAGGATGGCAAGCGTCACGGTATTGTTGAAAGAAAGCACCCTTTAGCTCCCGTGCGCAGCTGGCGGCTCGCATCGAGGACTCAGCCCCACTTCTCTGTGGAATCAACCTCAACCTACCAAAGGCATCGTGACACTCGATAAGACCATCTAGAAACACAGCCTGTGTCACGCTCTACAGTACATACATCAAGGTTGTGGCGCAGCATGTTGAAGTCCAAGGTCCCTGAGGTCCAACGACAGGTACCGAGGGCCTGCAACAAGCTGCTTTGGTGACAGCCTGGTCTTGTTACCTAGGTACCCAAGCTGAACGACACCCATGGGGGCTGAACAATATGTTTTGAATGTCAAGCTATTGCGTAGCGAGCCTCTGCTTCCCTTCTCCGCTTCCTCTCCGCTTCCTCTCTCTTCTTTTCTCTCCGGCTCATCCGCCTCAAAATTCTTGTAAGGCTCGTCCACGATTTCTAATGGAGTTGGAAAAGCTGAGCATCTTGTCCCGTCTCTCCTTCATACTCGTCTGCATTGCTCTCAAAGTTCATGCCGACGACGAATATAAGGCCTACGCTGTCGCAAGTGTTTGGGCTGTACTGAATTGTGTTCTGTGGCGATATGTTCTTTCGAGTGTCGTGTACAGACTGATATTGGTGGTCGGGATTGGGGGTTGAGATGGGAGAAGAAGGAGGAATGATATGGAGGAGTCAAGAAGCTGGAGAATTGTTTGAGGCACATTCAGTCCACTTCTTATAGCTCAGCTTGATCTCAAGCGCTCCGAAGATCAAACTCTGGCATTTCCTTATTAACAGGCAAATGTCAGCTCTCCTTCTCTCCCTCAACATCAGCACCACGGGCCAAGATGCAACGCACTCAAGATCTCCAAAAACAGCACGAGAAGAAAGTCTTATCTAGGAAGAAAATCTATGAACGCGGACTCAGCTTGCAAGGAAAGCCGATGACCATAAAGGATAATGCCTTCAAAACTCAGATCCTCGAGTACTTCAAAAAATCCAAAGCGGACGAGAAAATACTCGCTAAAGATGTAAGCCCCAATAAGCACACATTATCAAAGCTACCACTCTGACGCCGTCTTCGAACTTTAGGAAATCACTCAATACTACTTCATAACAGCCCACTGCCCACCGTGCTCAAAGCCCACCGCCAACCTAGCACCAATGTTCATTACCGACCTTAGGATCGAAACCCACCATCTCAACCGCGTCCTCGTTATCCGCCTGTATGGCGACCCCATCGTATCTGCTCACAACGGCATGCTCTGGCCCGTCGAAGACCTCCAAAAGAACCTAGCGATCGTGACGTTGCATAATTGGCACGCGGACCCCGAGGAGATGTGTCAACTGTTCAATGAGGACCTGGTTGTGGCAATCAAGCAGCCTTATTTTGAGTTGTGCAATAGGGGTGGTCTGTACAACGTCGGAATTGATCATATATCGGATGTACATGTTCTGCCAGTGAGCCACCCCATGATTGCAAGGTTTTATACGGAGGAGGAAAGGGATAAGAGGTGTAAGAAAGCGTCTAAGAGTGGCGAAGGGCCGGCGATGACCGTTTCGGCGAGAAGGCTTATTTTGCAGCAGCGCGATGCTACAGTAACGCTTTGGACGCCAACGCATCTGCACCGAAAAATGCCAAAGAGCAGAATTTCTGGGTACTCCAGAGGTGCTCGGAAGCCAACGCCAGGATCGGCAACTTCGACGACTCCCTCCTCGGCGCTGAAAATCACAACATATCGCAAAAACGGGACCCAGAACGGGCGCATAGAATATCTCAAGGCGAATGCACTCCACAATCTCGGCAAACACAGGGACTGCTGGATGATCCTAGAATGTCTTGACCACCTCGACGAGCTAGCTGAATTGCTTCACAAGGCCGCGAGCATGTGGCTTGAACTGTGGCAAGCTCAGACACGTCCTCTAGATCCAAACTCCACGAGAACGTCGTACGTCGATTTCACGACTATCGAGGAGCATGAAGATGGCAAACCGGGGCTATTCGCCAAACGTGATTTTAGGGCCAATGAAATCGTTCTGATCGAACGTCCACTGTTTGTGTCGAAGCCAGAGCGTGCAGATCGGAAGTTCTGCATTGTCGACTTAGAAGATAGGTAGCACCATACACACAGGTATCCGTCACTTTTCGTAGACGCTGTTCAGCATGCACGAGTGAGTCGGAAAATGGCTCGCGACCTGTTGAGTCTGGATGACTTGGCATACGAGAATGTGCAGGTTGATGGCAATACTGTTCTGGATTCGTAAGTTCCTCAAGCTGCTACCCCCATGACTGAGCCCTCTCCGATATGATGAGACACAGAACTGATACGTGATGTAGCTTCCGTATCCACAAGATCGTCAAGGAGAAAATGCTATACAATAGGCTTACAGATGTCTCTGGAATCTGGCGTCATGCAGCTCACGCACGTAAATCGGAGCGCCCGAACGGACGTGTTGAGCCGGCTAATTTTGTTGTTCCAGGTCGAAATGGAAGCGACGATGATATGACTTGTTGCGCGACCCAAGATATTGCTGCTGGTGAAGAGATAGTGCGACCCTGAGTTTCACCATTACCTGGATATCACGTGACTAATTTCTGGACCGACTGGAGCTAGAGTCGGGTGACGGAAGGGTATCAAATTCAGGGGAATGGAATACTAAAAGTGAATGGCTGGAGCAAGGGCAGTAGAGCTCTCGGGACGAAATGCGTCTCTCGAGACGAGATTTCTCTCTGAATACGTCAGGTCCACGGGTAGTGAATGCAATGAGCATTATCTTATACTGTAATTCTTCACTGGATCTTATCTACATAAGCATTTCCTATGGCGCTGGCAAAGTCATGCTTTATTGAACAGCAGAATAGGATGCAAATCCTCGCGGAACTGAGTCGTCTAGTCCCCTCTTCACCCTTTTTTGAGGTGCACGCCTGTGCCGATACTTCGTAGTTCGTCGTGAGATGGCATGACCTCCGCGGGATGAACTTTTTAGACATCACAGTAACGGAGAAAGTTCAACAATGACGCAGACGTTCAAAAGAGTACGTACGGAAAATGCAAACCAGGCACTCAACCCGGTCCCAATGAGGACAGTGACATGGTACATGGTACAATTGGAAGTGGATTGGTGAGCCGAGATTGCGCGCGTGCGAGCGAAAGCGAAAGCGACGTTTAAATTGTTCGAGGCCTTGGCGTCAAAACATAGCACAACACAGCTGCCTCGCAGCCCCACGGTCCTTTCCACCCGGCAGTTGAACCCTCGGAGGCTCGGATGTTCACCAGGCGACACTTGTAACAGGCTCTTTTCCCTCATTCACCCTCTACATTCTCGTGTCGTGGACATCGTTTCCATTTGCCCCCTGAACGAGACATTTCGAGGCGCAAGCAACAATGAGCGAACGAGTGACGCGCTCGAGGACGGGCAAGACGCCTAGGTGAGCAGTATCTGGTGCCTCGTGAGGCTCTCATATTTGTAGCGCAATTGCTTACATGAGGCGGTTTAGCAAGCCCTCCAACCCCGGTTTCGTCGAAACACCAGGACGCAGGAAGTCGTCGCGCAAGTCGATGATGCCCTCAAACCCCTACGATTCCGAGCACACGAGTCCGCAGCTGTCTTCTGTACGTATGGGCGAGCCATTGGCCAAATTGGAGTTCGAAAAGGAGGGTCCCAACAAGGTGCTGAGCAACGGCAATGGGTATGCGAATGGGCATGCGAATGGGCATGCGAATGGGTATGCCAATGGACACGCAAACGGAGAGGCAAACGGACACACGAACGGATACGCGAACGGACATGCCAATGGCAACGGAAATGGGCACGCTAATGGCAACGGCAAACTCAACGGCCATGCTAAATCTGCGGAAACTGCCCTCGAGGACCCTAAGATCGATACGTCTGGCCAGTTTGAGTTTGGCGGTTCATGGGGCACTGGAGCTGCCATGATCGGGTTTCCGTCTCTCATGTACTACATGTGGGTCGGAGCGACGTACTACGATGGGAAGTTTCCTACGCCGGTTGGCGACGAGAGCATCACAGACTTCCTATACCACATGGGGTATCTAGTCAAGACAGGAGCATTTCCCCATGCTAAGGCATGGGCTATCTACTGGGTCTACTTCATCGCGGAAGCCATCTTTTACCTCGTTATGCCAGGTATCTGGGTCAAGGGGAAGCCACTTCCTCACCTTGGGGGCAAACAGCTGGACTACTATTGCTCGGGCATGTGGTCCTGGTACTCCACCATTGCTATCGCTCTCGCTCTTCATTATAGCGGGCTCTTCAAGTTATACACTGTGATCGACGAGTTTGGACCTATTCTCTCTGTGGCCATCATTTCTGGCTTTGGAATGTCTATTGTCGCTTACTTTTCTGCCATATGGAGAGGCGCAACCCATCGTATGACCGGCTATCCTATATACGACTTCTTCATGGGCGCCGAGCTCAACCCCCGCATGTTTGGAATTCTTGACTTCAAGATGTTCTTCGAGGTCCGCATCCCGTGGTACATCCTCTTCCTGCTCACACTTGGCACCGCCATGCGACAGGTCGAGAACTACGGCTTCGTTTCTGGCGAAGTCTGCCTTCTTCTCTTAGCCCACTTCTTGTACGCGAACGCTTGCGCGAAGGCCGAGCACTTGATTGTGCCTACTTGGTAAGTTTGTTCCACCCCAAATTTCCCTTAGACATGACTGACACTTTGTAGGGATATGTACTACGAGAAATGGGGCTTCATGCTAATCTTCTGGAACCTCGCTGGGGTACCGCTCTCCTACTGCCATTGCACTCTGTACCTCGCCAACCACCCTCCCTCGGAGTATCACTGGCCGACCTGGGCCATCGCCGCGTACGCTGTGCTCTACCTTGGCGTTTACTACGTCTGGGACACCTGCAACAGCCAGAAGAACGTATTCCGCCAGGAAGAGGCCGGCTACATCTTCGAGCGCAAGACATTCCCCTACTTCCGCTATGGCCGCATTGCAAACCCGGTAACGATCCCTACGAAATTCGGTAATTCGCTGTTCTGCGATGGCTGGTATGGCAAAGCGAGGAAGGTCCACTATACATGCGATCTCTTCTTCGCGCTTAGTTGGGGTCTTGTCTGCGGGTTCAAGAGCCCGTTTCCTTGGTTTTATCCGACATTCTTCTTCTTCATGATCTCGCATCGCGCGTGGAGGGATCTGGAGAAGTGCCAAGAGAGGTACGGGGAGGCGTGGAACGAGTACAGGCGGAGAGTGCCGTACATTTTCATTCCGGTGAGTCTTTTCAATCACGCCGTAAATGAAGGAAAAGTCACTGATTTGCTATACAGTATGTCTTCTAGTCACGCATTTCTTCGTGTTTGATGCATAGATGGCCTCCGAAGGCCATGGCGAGTGTTTTGATATTACGGGAAGAAAGGCGTGCTGGGCACGTTTTGGTCTCTTTTCCTCTAATATTGCATGCTTGCTCCCTCAGGAATAAAAAGGGTCTCGGGTAACACTACTGTATTCTACTGGTTTGCATGGGCGAGTTTGCATACATTTTCTTTTTTATATTTCATCAGCTCTTTCGACGGGTGGTAGTGGAATCTGAGACTAGTTTGAAGAATAATATAATAGTAATCCTGTGCGAATATCGTTCGAGTGCTGTGGTCTGGTATTGGAGAATACGACGCTCCAGTTCGAAAATAGGCAATTTTGAAGGCGTGCATTTGGGTGCGTCTTGTGAAAGTGAGGCCTGGTATTTTTGCCGTAGCGTTGGTTTCATCCCTATACCGATATATACACCATCCCCGTAATGCTTCAGTTGTTATACATTTCATCCGTGATACACGTTGTCCCCCGTTCTGCACTGTCGCGCCTAGTTGCTCTCGGGGTTTACTCTTCGGATGTATTGTCGCGGCATCATCATCGGCCTCCTGTGATATCCAGCCATTGCCTCCTTCGCAATAGGCGAGTCTGTCCGGATAGTCGTGCCGATGCCCATGAAGAAACTGAAATTGTTACCGATTGAGCTCCTCAAGAACAGTCCCAAACCTACCCAAACGTAGCGGCAGACCCCACCATGTATTGCCCTAGTGTTCGTAGCATCCCGTTGGGCCCTGGGCCGAATCTTATGATGTTTGTAGCGCCTGTGTCCTGTCAGGCTCGTTCTGGAGCAGAGTATCCGGATAGCGCACCAAATATGAATCCGATGATCAGTCCCACAGCTGAATAGCAGGTCAGCAAGAGGAGGACGGAAGGAGGCCGGCATTCGTACACCCGCCCATCATGGCTCCCATTTTGACTGCACGCGGGTTAGCTGTTGGAGTGCTGCATGGCAGATGGAGGCGTACGTTTGTCGAAGGTCGACGGGCCGCTCATACCGTGTCCCACTGGCACAGGCATCGTGGCGTCTTTTCTTGGGAAAAGTGATTGAAGAGCTGAGGGGGGTCGTGACCAAAGCAACTGCTGCAGATGTCTGAGGTGGTCCGGTACCACGCAGTCTCTCCACACTGGAAACGGAGACGGAACCTTCCGTGAATATCACGTGATATACGCTTTCCCATGGCTCGGAATGCACCCTCACATCGAAAGTCGCATGCTTCCATCCTGAACATCGCATCCCATCGCCAGCAGCCCCATTTCTACGCGCCCCGTGGCCGCTGCTTGCTGCCCGCCATCACGCGTCCGCACTCCCTTCACCAACCCAGGCCAGGCCCACCACTCAGAAGCTAGTGTGCAGTGGATCCTCTGCCGCTGTCCTCGCTCCGCATACCTCTCCTTACACATCTCCTCCTCGCCCGCACGACACGCCTCACCACTGTCAGCCCGCCCCTCGGCCTCCCGTCTTGCGACTTTTGCTGTCTCATCCGCCGCCGCTGCTGCTGCCCGGCCTCGCATCCTCGCCGCGCTGACGTCGCACCTGGCTGACCCGGACCAGCACACGACAGAACCTCACTCGGATCGCGAGCCGCACCTCGAGGCCGACCTGCGCCATTCTCGTCGTCGGCCGTCCGCCCTGCGCATGAGCAAACGACCCGCCAGCTCTCTGCCTCTGTTGTTGTCTGCTTGCTGGGGTCGCTCGCGGGTGTATCACGCTGCCGGCGCTAAGTGGCCAGGACGACGCCGAAAAATCGAACCTCGCAGCAGACGGCAGTCGTGGGCTGGCCTCGTCGCAGATGACGGCAGTCGCCCCTCCTCCCAACTTCCAGCCCATTTCTCGGACAGGATGGAGCGCTCCTAACGGCGCCTCCAGCGGCCTGAGCTCCGTCAACGGTGACGAGTTCAGGATGTATATGCCCCGGAAAAGCATCCAGCGCCCGGCCTCGTCCACCTCTCTCGCGTCGAACGCATCCTCGAACTCGACTATATCGACCGCATCCACGCAGTCCAACGGCGTGCCTTCCTCCCCCGCGGTCGACGGCAACTGGGGCACGAGGAAGAAGCCGCAGCGAGGCTTGTGGCCGACGTCAAAGGCAGAACCCATATCAGGCCTCTCCACCGCACGGCCCCAGTCGATAGCATCTGCATCGTCGACATCCGCCGCCTCTGCCATTTCCGCCCTCCACTCGCCAGCTCCAATGGTTCCATCACAGCAGCACAATGGCCAGTCGCAAACGCAACAGAACGGCGCGCCACGGGCCCAAGGCCAGTCCGAGAGCCCGGCCATTCTTCACCTCGTTCCCATGAACGGCACATTTGAGCGGAAAACAATCACTGTGCCTTTTTTCCCCGACGTTCTACGCATTGGCCGGCAGACGAATAACAAGACGGTTCCAACACCGCTCAATGGATACTTCGACTCCAAGGTGCTCTCCCGACAACACGCAGAAGTATGGGCAGACCGACACGGCAAGATATGGATTCGTGACGTCAAGTCGTCCAACGGCACCTTCGTCAACGGCCAGCGGCTGTCTCAAGAGAATAGGGACTCGGATCCTCACGAGCTGCGGGAACAAGACATGCTGGAATTGGGTATAGACATCGTTAGCGAGGACCAGAAGACGATCGTCCACCACAAGGTTGCCGCTCGGGTTGAACATGCCGGCATTTACTCCAACACCGGCAACAACATGTTGGACCTCAACTTTGGGGAGCTCGACTCGCCAATGATGGCTAACATCATAAGCCCTGGCGGGCCACAAGGGATGGGCAATCTGAGAGGACGGCCTGGTGGGCAAGGCCAGATGAACGGCAACCGCGTTCAAACACCTTCAAGCGCAATTCCGAACAACATGGGTCAACCAGGCCAGCAAAGGCACATGAACTTCTGGCTGCAGCCTATCTCGCTGGAACAAATTGTCAAGAAGCTAAACGTATGTAACTGCGACCCAATAGCTGCGCCGTGCTAACACAATCTAGACGGAGATGAAGCAAGCTAAAATACAGAATCAAGACCTCCTACGGACAAACCAGTACATCGATAATGTATTGACAACGGAACCGAAGAAGGAGTCAGCGAAAACCTCTCCCACTTCACACGTAAAGATATCTCCCATAAAAGGAGACTTCAAGGCACGATTTTCCGATCCCCCTGCGCCTCCGCCTCAGCAACCTCTTCCCGAAAAACCAGACTGCCCTCCACATCAGCCTCTTCTGCGTAGAATTGACACCGAGAGACCGAAAAGCAGTGGGTCTCCTAAACGAACCGATTCACACCACCAGATATCATCTCTCGCCGAAGCTTTGACGTCAGCAAAGAAGGAGATTGAGTCTCAAAGTTTGCGACTGAAGGATCTAGAGACGCTTCTTGCCGAAGAGCGGCTCGCAAGAGAGAGCGCGGAGGAGCGAGCCCAGCGGCTCGAGCTGGAGCGCAAGGACGACACTTTCGAGGAGACAACCACCATACCTGAAATGAATGGAGTTGTCCCCGACCCGGAAGAGTCTGAGCCTATACTAGATAAAGATGGCCAGGTAGAGAGGGAGTCATCGCCAACGGATTTCGCGACTGTTCGACTCCAACAACGACTGGAGCTGATGATCGCCGAAATGGACGAAATGAAGAGCAAGATGGAGCAGTACCGGCAACGGGCCGAGACTGCAGAAGCGGAGAGCGAAACGCACCGGAAGACGCTGTCAGAGATGGTTGAGAAGATCAGGCATGACGACGCCAACCGAGCACGACGGGAAGCCGTCAAGCAGCACAAGCGTAGCCAAAGTGAGCTTTCAGAGGGCCACCTCCCCGTGGGTGTCGATGGTTCCGAGGATGAAGGCGAGATTCCGATTGTCAACGATAACAGCATGGACGTTGACGACGCCGACGCATTGTTACGACGGGTCGGCATCCAGAACGGCAGAGCTGTCAGCCCTGAGCAGGCTGCAGCAGTGCAGAAGGCCAACTCTCAGGCACTAGCGCAGTGGTCGAATGCTCACGGTATTACCTCTCTCCAGGGAGCCTCAGCTACGAGCATTCTTGTGGTTGTTTTGGGCTTCGGTGTAATGTCGTACCTGAACAACTTCTACCCGAAGGTGGAGCGGTGAAGATGGTCAGGATATCTGCACTGATGTCCTGCGCACTGTCGCCACGAGTGGGGGCTGGGGATGAAAGAAGCGGAGAGGGAGGAGAGCAAGACGCCATGGCGGAGGCAATGGGGCAGAAGAGCGTGACGTCTTCTCCGAACTGCTGCAGTCCGGGTGGCAGATGGTTGGCTACGCAGCGACGGCTCCGAGTAATTGCTTTTGGACAGCAGAACACACTGAAAGCGTCGCCTATTTCCATCTTCGATGATATGGGAAATTTGGGCATTTCACTCGGAGATTGGCGTTCGGAACTACTGGAATGAATGGATACACTATGACATCGTCTGCTGAATGGCTAGCAGCAGCAGCAGACGGAAAATTTGTGGTGGATGTGTTTTGGGAAAAAAGCACGTGTCACCAAACTTGGAACGCATCACCTCACACTCTCACTATACATAATCTCTCACACTTTTCCTTTCTTTCTTTCTTTCTCTCTTCTTTCCTTTATTTGTAAACCCCATCATTCACTTTGGGGCAACGCGGCGGAGAACATGAACGTGTCTCGATGTAGCACACCCGGATCGGAAGATGAGGGACGATCAGGGTCTGGATTTGATAACTGTGCGGCGTTTCGGCGAGAGCAGGCCTTGGATTGGGCAATTGACCTCTTCTTTCTTTTTTCCTCTTTTAAGAGTGTTTTTCTTGACTGTCAATCAACTGTAGTGTCTCAAGGATTCTTTAGCGTAGTAAGGGTCTTCTGTCCGAGGGAGATTAGGCAGGTTCAAGACAAGTTGTATTCTGAGTTCTTTCTGGCCGTTCTTTCTGGTCCACTTTCTTTTGTGAGGATGTTTGTTTATGTGGGATTGGGTGAGAGGGGAAGTGTGAGGTATGATTGGGATGGGGTGGAGTGGGTTGTCTAGGTTCCTTTTTCAATGATACATACTTTTGGACTACGAGGCGTGCTACGATGCCGTGAATCGAGTGATTTGAGTGATACGTGGCTTTGCCAGGAGAAAGCAATGTTCCTTCATATTTCGACGTGTTCTTTGAAGCAAGGTTGCAAGTCTAGGTTTCAGGTTCGGGTAACATATATACATGCAAGTGCGCTCCGTTTACCTAAAAGCGTCCTCTTAACGTCTAGATCCTTCGCTCTGGCGGTTTGATATCTCACTCCGATCTAATTTGGGACGTACTACCGCTCTATCTCGAGTATGCCGGTAGCCCGTGATGGGGCATGGTAAAGCTCCAGCTCGACTTAAGCTCTTCCACATAGAAGCTCTTCCACATAGTGGGTAATTGAGATTCCACAGCCGTGACTTTTATTTCCACAGCCATGCCAGCACCCCTCAATCCCCCTCCCCTTCCCCCTCCCCCTCTCCAACATCCAACCCCAACACCTCCCTCGCCTCCCCCACACCCACCCTCACCACGCCCCCCTCAGCATCCCCAAACAGCGCCCTCCCCAGCTCCCCCGCAAACACCTCCCCCACCGCCTCCACTGTCAGCCCCTCCACCCCCACCGTCTCCAAACTCACCGCCCGCTTCCCCTCCAGCCCACACGCCACAATCCGCTCAAAAAACCCCAGCTCCGGCGCCACATTCAACGCGACCCCATGACTCGTGACATGCCGCCGCATGTGCACGCCCACGCTCCCAATCTTGGCGTCGGCGCTGACCCACAAGCCCGGGTTTGTGGTCGTGAAGGTGCACACGCCGTAGTGCGCGCAGGTGGACTGGAGGGCGGTTTCGAGCAGGCGGATGTAGCACCGCGGGCTCAGTTTTAGGGGCGCGAGGTCGAGGATCGGGTACGCGACGAGCTGGCCGGGGCCGTGGTAGGTCGTCTGCCCGCCGCGCAGGGCTTCGTGGAAGGCGGCGCGGCCGCCGGCGCGGAGGTGCGCGATTTGGGAGGGCGAGAGGGCGCCGATTTCGCGGCGGCCGCAGGTGTAGGTCGGCGGGGGGGAGAAGGTGAGGAGGGTGGGTGGCGGCGGCGGGGGGGAGGAGGGGGAGGTTTTTGAGGATTTGGAGAGGAGGAAGCGGGCGACGAGGGATTCTTGGAGCGCGGAGACGGAGGGGTAGGAGGGGAGGCCGGGGAGGTGGAGGTGGTGGAGTTTCATGGTGGGTGGAGGTAGTGGGGGTGTATAGGCATTGTTTAATAGGATGGGTGTTGGGGGATCAGAGGTTGTTTGAGCGGTGATGGGATGGAGGGAGGGAAGGTCCAGCCCTATATATGGCCCGTGCGCGGGATTTTTATATCAAAGTTCGTGAAGCTTCACTGCTCCCTCCCATCACTCGACCATAGCCACGATGACAACCCCCACCGAGCCCACTAGTTCTACAACTCTCAAACGCAAATCTCTCGATGCTCCAGCTACCTCGAAACCTCCAAAACGCCCCCGCCTGCCCCCGGGCTACAAATCCACCCCCCGTCCTATCCCGCACCCCGCCATACCCACCCCCTTCGCCTCCGCCGACGCCCCAAAAAACGTCTACGTAAAACACAACACGCCCTTCATCTCCGCTGTAAAACGCATCCGCGGCCTGCTGCGCCAGATCGAGAAACGCGAAACCCAATCTCTATCCAGTGGGCGGAAACCGCTGGACGCGAAGACGGTGGAGGCGGCGATTGCGAATGCGCGGGAGAACAAGGATGCAGGCAAGGAGGGGGAGCCGGTATACTTGAAGGCGACGGGGCGGGCGATTGATAGGGCGTTGCATGTGGCGCTGTATTTCCAGGAGCAGGGGTTTGAGTTGGAGATTGAGACGGGGGCGGTGGAGGTGGTGGATGATGTTGTGAGGGAGCGTAAGGGGGGGTATTTGGGGTCTTGGGTGAAGAGAGGGGAGGAGGTGGAGGAGGTGGAAGATGAGAATGAAAAAGAGGAGGCGGTCGATACCGAGATGAAGGATGATGGGCTGAAGAAGGAGGGTGGAGGGGAGAAGGAGGTTGCAGAGCTGGAAAAGCCTCCGGAGAAGAAGGCTGCGGAAGAGAAGGAGGTTGCAGAAATGGGGAAGTCTCCGGAGAAGAAGGCTACGGAAGAGAAGGAGGAGACAGCCACAGACGACATTCCAGAATCAAGGACTCGGCGGTTGAACTTCATATCTGTCGCCATCCGCCAACAATGAGGCATTCGTGGCGAACCGATAGCCATCACACACAATGTCCACGGCACCACTTGTCAAAAGGCCGTAGTAGACAAGCAAAGTCACGCTAAAAGACACAGTGGGACTGAGCCAAAGTGGGATATTTACAGAAGGTGATGCTCGCGGCGTGCACCGATTCGTCGAAGAACACTTTCACGGCCAAAGTGAATGTTCAACTCTCGATCTTGAGCTGCGAAATAGGCCTCTGCTGTTACTTCCGATACTTCGGTATGTACACTCTGGCGCTCAAAAACCAATCAATCTGTACACCAAACCTACACCTCTGAAGTCTCAAGAATGAGACAATTGATCAGATTGGGCCCTCCTCCGGCGGGCCTCCACGATGATCTCAGGTTTACGATGATCTCAGGTTTCAACTATCAGTCGTGCCCGATGATTCTTTTGAAAATCACCATCGCAGTACCGAGATGCGAGTACTCAAGCACAATGACGGCACGGTAATTTCAGTACAGCACAATAGTTGGTCAGCTACCAGCGATATATTGGTCGCTGTTCTTCTAGCAGATGCTACTAAGCTACTTGCACCAATCGACTCCCGAGTATTAAAGCATCCTAGAGCTCCTCATCTTAGTACCGATGTCTTCATATAGCTACGTCCAGTTCGACTCAATCCAATTTAAAAATCAGTATCAAACCTTTTCATCTTAATCATGCGTCTTTTGTGGTACCGAGGTCTTGGGTGCAAGCCCCCGTCGACTCCCCTCATTCGATTCGCGTGTTTGTTTTAGTTACTGTCCCTCAGCTGACTACTGCACTCCGGCTTACCCCACATATCAGCCATCGCTACCGACTCCCGAACTCATGCATTACTGATGCAGGTAGTCTTGACTTTCAAGAAATAAAATAACCTCATAATCCCTTAGTACTCAGAAGAAATTTAGTTTTTATACGGCCAAAGTGCCCGGTCGTCTTTCAACTTCATCTCAATTGTTCTTCTGGACTTATGCGAACAGCTTCATCTGCATAAATCATAGAGCTCTATAGCTCTGGAAAAATTTGTACCTTTCGCAGTTGTCACGCCTTCAAGATGTCCATCTCAACTCCTCTAACCACCCTCCTTGGGATCCAGCACCCCATCCTCCTCGCAGGCATGGGCGGCGTTGCTAGCCCCTCGCTCGCAGCCGCGGTGTCCAATGCAGGTGGAATGGGTGTGCTAGGCGGAATCTCGTATACGCCCGCGATGCTACGCGACTTGATCAAAGAGACAAAGGTTCGTTCCTTTACCCCCAATCATATAGAGCCCTTTTAGGCACAGAAGCTCACTCATGCACAACGTCACAGTCACTAATGACGGATCCAAGTTTACCCTTTGGTGTGGATCTACTGATTCCGCAGGTTGGAGGGAATGCAAGGAAGACGAATGTGAGTACTTTTTTCCCTCAGACCGCGTAATCTTATCAAGTTGCTGACGTCGAATAGTACGACTACACAAAAGGCTCATTGAGCGAACTTATCGACGTTATCATTGAAGGCGGAGCAAAGCTGTTCGTATCTGCAGTGGGTGTACCACCGAAATGGGTAGTAGAGAAGCTGCATAAGAACGGGATACTGTACATGGTATGTATACTTCCATCCAGTCACCAACGACATCAATTACTGACCGAGTCTAAGAACATAATAGGGCACCCGAAAGTCAGCATCTCCATTCTTCAGCTCGATTGATTATCGAAGCTAACAACACCAGCACATTCACAAAGCCTGCGCCATTGGCGCCGACCTCATCTGCGCCCAAGGCGGCGAAGCAGGCGGCCACACAGGCGATATCCCCTTCAGCGTCCTCATCCCCGCCTGCGCTGACGTCTGCAAACAATATACCTCGCCCCTCACTAGCCAACCCGTCCAGCTCGTCGCCGCTGGCGGAGTCAACGACGGCCGCAGCCTCGCTGCCGCGCTGATGTTCGGCGCAAGTGGGGTTTGGGTGGGGACGCGCTTCATTCCCGCGAAAGAGAGCGGTGCGAGCGAGTATGCGAAGAAGCTCGTCGTCGACGCCGGATTCGATTCGGTGGTTAAGAGTACGATCTGGACTGGCCGCCCACTACGCGCGGCACGGACGCCGTATATCGATGATTGGGAGACGAACCGGCAGCAGGAGATTAAGGAGTTGACGGCGAAGGGGGTTTTACCGGCTGAGTATGATCTTGATAAGTTGAGCGCGGCGGGGAAGTTGACGGAGGAGATTGAGGAGCAGGCGGCTGTTAAGTATGTGATCTGCTTCAGAGATAGAGTGCAGAGTGCTAATAGCGTGATTAGGCCCATGGGGATTGTAGCGGGATTGGTCAACAAGAAAGATCAGTCTGCTGGCGAAATTGTGAAGGACATTGTAGAAGAGGCGGTCGGGCTGCTGAGGGGGGCGAGTGGGTTTGTAAAGACGGCTTCGAGACTATAAGTGCAGTATGTATAGCCAGCTAATGAGGCCACAATGGGACCTGAGAGACTCTGAAGTGTAGATCTTCGTTATTGTAACTCGACAGCTATCTAATCGTAAGGCCAAGCGGTTTTGGTTTGGGCTTGATAGGGTGCAGAAACGAGGAAAAAGAAATCTTGTAAAGAAGACTCTGCTAATGTCAGGTGACAGATACGTTTTTCCGCTAAGGGTAGGCGGAGATACTAATGATGAGGAACGCCTATCTAGATCTGGGGAGAGAACGCTCTATAGGGAAACTTGGTGACTTGGTTCATGGTCAGGCCGTGCACGTGACCAATATGTTGGCCATGCAATATTCTATTGGAAAGCGAAAGGCAGTCGTCAAACCCTATCTCGGTATTACGAAACTATCTTCCTCGCGTATAGTCTTTGCTATCGTGGTGCGAATCACGAACGAACAAGTGCCTCCGAAACATAGCAGAAGCGCTTCCAATGAAGCTTGAAGCATACGCCCGATCCCAATCCTAGGTCTTGGCAGTCTCAGCCTCCCTCCTGTTAAACACCTCTTCTTCTTGCAGCTGTACCCCTCTCATCATCGAGTAACTTGTCGTCGTCTCTTCACTTTCTGTTGTGCAATGATTCCCTTCTCGGCTTCTCATTTGTATGCAATCGGGCCTGGAGGAATCGGTCTACGGTTGTGCTGGTCTTGTCGCTTAATGCTTTCTCGGATACTGAAAGACGAACTGAAGGATGAAATGACGAGGACGGGTTTGGGTTGATGTTAATTATGCTAACCCACTACAAGTCAACGCGTAAGCTACGAGAAAGCGCACGGAGGAGGTGTGTTGCTTGCAAAGCCTTTTTGTACTCGTTCACGGTAGAACAGCAGAATTTTGCTTCTGAAAATAGACGAAGTCGGCTTTTTTCCATTTCGAACTTTTTGAATCCAGACACGGAGGATCCTACTTCCCAGCAATTAAGAAAGTCTTCAAAAGAAAGATGTAAACATTGTGCTACAATTTCCTGTAGCCACGGAGCTCCTAAGTTCGGTGGTCGGCTTATATGCTTCTGCCACGCTTAGTGTTCATCTAAGCCGTAGTAAGTCGGCGATTGATTCCAGACTACGCCACATACACTGATTGGTAAAACTGATTCAGATCCTAGATCCGATACCATCATGCCAATTCTATCCGGGTAAACTGATGAAGATGCAACGTGGACCAAAGCGAAACAGTGACTACTCGAGTGTCTTGAAGGAGATAACCATCGTCAGTGCAAAAAGCAAATTATGAAGCATCGATTACCGGAACGCCTCGTTCACGTATCCCCTGGCGGAAATCCAATACATCTCTGTATTACACGCAATATTCCAGACCGCAGGAACTTGCGCTACCTCACTCTGAGCCACTGCTGGGGGAGGAGGCCCATGCCTCTAGTCGCGACTCGAGATAACTTGAGTTCGCTTCTCCACACCATTCCATTTGAGAAACTGTCCAAGACGTTTCAAGACGCCGTCGTAACTACCCAACGCCTAGGGTTCCAGTACATATGGATCGACTCTCTTTGCATCCTTCAAGGCGACGCCGACGATTGGGCTAACGAAGCTGCGCACATAGGCAGTATCTACTCGGGGAGGCGTCCTCAACATCGTCGCCGCCCATGCACCTGACAGTGCCACCGGTTTCTTCTGGAAATGCGATCTCACAGCCTCGTTCCAGGTCTTCGACAATTCTCGCGGCAACACCTACGCCTACATGCCTACATCAATGGCGTATCTCTCGCATACATCGGCCTTGAAGCGCGGGTGGTGTTTCCAGGAGACACTACTGGCGCCGCGGAGTGTGTACTTCTGCAAATCACAACTCTTCTGGGAATGTCGCAAGCTCAAGACCTGCTAAGCCCTCCCCGAATCCCCACCCTTCGTGTCACCCTTGCGCAGAGCCCCCGTGAGCTGGATCGAAAAGCGGCCGGAAGGACAAACTCCAACATCTATCCAAAGGATGGCCTACGAATGGCTGAAAGTGGTAACCGCCTACTCCAGGACACGCGTGACATACCCCCAGGACAAGCTCATTGCTGTCTCCAGTGTCGCTCTTATGTTTTCGAAGACGGGAACTTTTACACACTGCACTAGTTCCGTCAGACTGCATCGAGTACTACGCCACACTGTGGCGACCAGGTATCGACCTGCAGTTGCTCTGGTACGTCAAACGCTCGCACTGGAAGCCGCGAAACGACGCCCTTCGTGCACCGTCGTGGTCGTGGGCTGGGATCGACGGCCCTGTCAACAGTATTTTGGGCGACAACTACCAACATCCAGACTACTATCAAAACTGGGACTGATTTCACGGGATCCTCAACCGGGACGAGAAGATCGCGGTGTTGGATTGCAGCACGCGGCTCGCAACACACGATCCGTACGGCGAAGTGCACGGCGGGTCTCTGACGCGGCGGTGTCGAGCTCTCGCCCGGATGGACCGCTCGCGGCGCGGCAGGAGGACGTGCGAGGTCGTAGCGGACTATTTGGATTTTCTTGGGTTCGAGCAGCGCGACGATGTGGTCCTGCTCCCGGTGTTGCGTAAGCAGCATGAGTATGGATTGCTGCTTGAGCGCGTCCGTGACCCGGAGGTTTATCGCCGCGTTGGGGTCTATAAAGCGAAGCGTTAGAAGGGGCCTAGATGAGAGGGGTTGGAACAGGCTCTAGACAGGGTTGTTACTATTACTATTTTATGAGAATGGCTAGCGATGCATGGACTATTCAACGCTTTTCCAAACCGACTGGGGGATAATCATTGGTTTTCCGTATGGTGAGGTTATTTGGGATTTTGGTTTGACATTCATTGCTAAGTTGCTTTCATTACTATTACACATTGCACAGGCGTGCCGACGCAGCTCGATCAGTTCCATGATTGCTTGGTTCCAGAAGATGAAAAATGGGATTGAAACTTAATCTCTATTCTCCATTTGCCACTTATTGAGATTTCTAAGCGAAGACGCTGTGCGAGGATGCTGAGGGCCAAGAATCTGCCTGCTCAGCTGAACGCACCTTTCCATTAATGCGATGGCCTCTCCGTTCCGGCCTCGGGACTTCCACGTGTGTGCCAGGTTGTTCATGCTGCTTAGCGTGTCCGGATGCTCCGCCCCAAGCACCCTCTTTCTTGTCTCTACTACTTGCACCTCCAGCTCTTCGGCCTCCTTCCACCGCCCTTGGTTCCAGTACGTCGACGCTAGGTTGTTCATGCTGGTTAGCGTGTCCGGATGCTCCGCCCCAAGCACCCTCTTTCTTATCTCTATTACTTGCACCTGTAGCTCCTCAGCCTCTGCCCACCGCCCTCGGCACTTCCACATGTGTGCCAGGTTGTTCATGCTGCTTAGCATGTCCGGATGCTCCGCCCCAAGCACCCTCTTTCTCATCTCCATTACTTGCATCTGCAGCTCTTCGGCCTCCTTCCACCGCCCCTGACTCCGGTACGTTGACGCAAG